TGAAATGTTGGTATCAGCAAATAGTATCTGTTCTGTAACTATATTAGAAACTGAACAGTAGAGGGCAATATTCTTACACAAATAAGAAATATTTTGAAAGTACTGTAAAAGGCAAAATGTATATACTACCTATCAGTATTTTATACAAACAAAAATCACAATAAAATTCAAAAAGTGGGTGGTTATGTGTGTCTCTGCGTGTTTGTGTTTTGCTGGGAGGTCTTCCCTAATTGTTTGCCAGGTTATAAATTATTAAGTATAGCATGTAGCCAAATTTGAAGGGGAGGGCAGAATTCTGCCATTCATCATACACCCATCATCATACTAAAGTATCTTGTCTAGGAGTTTCCAAGATGTGTGCACTTGAGGATAGGGTTTAGATTCTGTTGGGTGAATAGTAAACTCTATTACATATTTTGCTGCCTGAGCTAGTGGACTACCACCTGGAAGTAATACAGTACATCACAAATAAGCTGTTAGGAATTCTTTCTCTAGTAACAAAGGTACAATTGAATTGCATTGCAAAACGAAAGGGTTTTTTTCTCCTCTTTGGGGAATTAACTTACAACTGCATTGCAACTGATGGGACATTTCCAATCTGGATAACTACCAGCTAGTCTCAAACATCCAATTCCTGGGCAAGGCACTGGAGCATGTGGTGGTTTCTCAGCTCCAGGGATTCCTGGAGGAAGTGGATTATGCATCAATCTGGTTTCAGGCTTGGCTATGGGACAGAGACAGGTTTGGTCACCTTGGTGGATGACCTATGCCGGGAACTGGACAGGGTGAGCGTGTCCTTGTTGGTTCTGCTGGACCTCTCAGAGGCTTTCAGTATCATCAACCATGGTATCCTTCTGGGTCGTCTCTATGGGATGGGACTCGGAGGCACTGTTTTACAGTGGCTCCAGTCTTTCCTGGAGGGGAGAAGTCAGAAGGTGGTGCTGGATGACTCCTGCTCAACGCCCTAGCCATTGGTCTGTTACATTCCTCAGGTTCTACTTTGTCATCCATGCTTTTTAACACCTATATGAAACCACTGGAAGAGGTTGCTTCCTGTCCCACAAATAGATTTCTCTGGAGATAGATAAGGTGTTCAGGCACTCCCATTTCTCTAAGAACTTGCCATAGTTTGTTGTGGTCGACACAGTGAAAGGCTTTTGTGTAGTCAATGAAGAAGTAGATGTTTTTCTGGAACTCTTTGACTTTCTCCAAAATCCATTGCATGTTAGCAATTTGGTCTCTAGTTCCTCTGCACCTTCAAAATCCAGCTTCTACTTCTGGGAGTTCTTGGTTCACATACTGCTGAAGCCTACCTTGTAGGATTTTGAGCATAATCTTGCTAGCGTGTGAAATGAGTGCAAGTGTACAGTAGTTGGAGCATTCTTTGGCACTGCCCTTCTTGGAGATTGGGATGTAGACTGATCTTTTCCAGTCCTCTGGCCACTGTTGAGTTTTCCAAACTTGCTGGCATTTATTGAATGTAGCACCTTAGCAGCAGCATCTTTTAAGATTTTAAATAGTTCAACTGGCATGTCATCACCTCCACTGGCCTTGTTGTTAGTCAAGCTTTCTAAGGCCCACTTGACTTCACTCTCCAGGGTGTCTGGCTCAAGGTCAGCAACCACACTATCTGGGTTGTCTGGGATATCCAGATCTTTCTGGTATAATCCCTCTGTGTATTCTTGCCACCTCTTCTTGATGTCTTCTGCTTCTGTGAGGTCCCTGCCATTTTTGTCCTTTATCATGTCCATCTTTGCACAAAATGTTCCTTTAATATCTCCAATTTTCTTGAACAGATCTCTGGTTTTTCCCTTTCTATTATTATCCTTCTGTATTTTCCCCCTGTGAAATACACCTTACAAATAAGCAAATAGTCTACTGCTTTTGGTGCAGTCCAGTGTGAGATATCTGGTTTTTCCCTTTCTATTATTTTCCTCCTGCATTTCCCCCCCCCCCTGTAAAATACACCTTACAAATAAGAAAATTGTTTATTGCTTTTGGTGCAGTCCAGTGTGAGATATTTCCCAGTAATCACATGACATATGGACAATTGTGCTTTAGCCTGTCCTTCATCCATGCCCAAGCTGGACCTTTTTGGTCCAGCAGCAGGGCTACTCTTTTTTTGACGCTGGCCTGGAATGATTCCCCAATGGACAGAAATGATGCTTTAAGGGACATCACTCTTGGCAAAGTGACCCTTTCTATTGCAATCAGATGGAACAATTTCTTGCAATTTCATCTCACCCCAGTCAAGACTCTTAAAGAGGTAGTCCTGTACACTACAAGGTTCCATTGAAATTGAAGAGAGCTTTGTGAGGTCCTTACACAATACAACTATAGCCATAGGCGATGCCTTTACAGACAACTATAAAAAAATCATACAATCTGCCAGCTTTCTTGGATCAATGCCCACTTCTTCAGGCATGCACTGATGTCTTGTCATTAGTGTAGAGAATTTAGTGTCCCAAAAGTTCATGGCAGATGGATTAGCCAGGCTTGTTTCTTAGATGTAAATTATGAAAGGTACAGGCTGTATTGGAGGTCTAGTTTTAAAGTTAGAGCTGAGGAAGCTGTTGACTGGATATCATACCCCAAGTCTTCAAACAAAGAAGCCCAGGCATTATGTATATACCCTTCCGCATGATTATGAATAATGCCTGGGCTTCTTTGTTCCAATGATCCACAAAAGCTAACATATTGTATTGTATTGTATTGTATTGTGTTTGTGTGTGGGGGGGGTTTATCACCTATTCTTGCATTGTATACTCAGAGGTACAGAGGTGTAGCTCATAACATGCTTCCAATAAAATGTTGGTGAGATGCTCAAAACCTTTCTCCAAAAAAACATTCTAGGATCAGATTATTCAATCTAAAGCTTGTTCTATCCATAGGACAGAAAACCACAATATTCACCTCATAATTGCTGCTCTTCACCATACACTTTAACAAAAGCACAAGTAGAGACTTCAAACTTTCAGAAGATTACAGAACCAGGAGGCTGAACTGCAGCAGCACTAGATAAAAGGTATAAAAAAACTGTGGCAGAAAGGAGGGGAATCCGGTATCCACCATTCACTTCTGGAGTGGGGTGAGGAGATACTATGGAAACCTATCATAAAATGAACAGTATAGTTCAGTACAGCATTTGTAGTATAATTGTAAACCTTTAGTTACATTGTCTGGAATTCTGGATTTGCACTAGGTAAACTCAAACCTCCACAATTAGTACGTGCAATCATTCTGGCTGGCGGTTACATTCTTAGCAATATGCACACTCACCATTTGTTGCACATTCAACTACATGCCCAGGCATTACTGTATTAATTATGGATTTTAATAGAAATATGTGGCAGGAAAAATCTATATGATTTGAACAGGGTGCAAAAGTGTTACCCTAAAATTGAAAAGCCCATTTGAAATATGCCTCAAAGGGCTGCCTAAAAAGGGAAACTACTGAAAAACAATCACAGCTTGAGATATAAGTTGAAATTCTAAAACCAAAACACAGCCAGTTTGTTTCCAGTACCCAAAGAACTAATAATATAAGACGGCGGTAGCTCATTTATTGAGTTTCATGCCAGTTTTCAAAATGAAAAAGAAAACAAAATAATGCTTATGTTATGTAGACAATAAAAGAGGAAAAAGGAAAATACAATTTATTTTGCCACTTGAGTTACATTTACCTATAATATAATTAACAAAGAAATACCACAAAATGGATGTGGAAACTTGTATTGAACAAATGAGAATACCTATATATTGTACAGAAGAAGAGTTTGTAGAACAGTGTACGAGGAGAAAAGGATGAATGTTATCTTAAGTAGTGTGCTTCTTGAGAAGCTAAAATAAAACAAAAACAAATGTTTGTTTTATAAGGCTTTAGCTTCATAATAAGTAATTCATAATTCCCTAATTCAGTATGGTAACAATGAGGAGTATAAACTCATATAATATTCTGTAGTATTAGAAGTGGAGCATTCTAAATGTAAAAGCATGTAACAATTATTCAGGATGTACCCACACTGGAATTAGGAAAGCAGGACACCTGTAAAATCAAAAGATTATGATTATAATAAAACATATGATCTTTTTGAGCCTCCTTCTGTCAATTCAGATGGCAATGTGAAAGCCTAAAGGTACACCAGACCCAACATGGATTAATTATCTGGCAGTGGGAAAGTTGTTTGGTGAGAGCAAAGGCTTCTAGTGCACCTTCAGACATATCACATTCCCAACAAGTATCTCACAGATGCAGATCTAGTCTTATAGTCAAGTGATAGCATTATTTATGCGTAGCCTTCTTTTAAAAACAGAAGTAGTGAACCTGCAGCCCTTCGGGTGTTGTTGGACTCCAACTTCATTGCTCACAATGGGGGGTGATGGGAAATTGAGTTAATCAACACCTACAGAGACACAGCTTCCCTTCTCCTGCCTTAAAGCAACTTCTAGTTCTTATACAGATGTGTCACTCAACTTCTCCTTATTCACAAATTCAAAAAATGAGACCATACACAATCTTACAAACATACCACTTTGTACCTATTGCCTTCTGCCTCCCCCTTTCACACTCAGACCAGCAAATTTTATTAATGTATTAAGAGCAAATCCTCAAAAGGATTTTGATTTCTCTTTGAAAGATGCCTCCTCTCCCAGTTAGAACATCTATATTAATCAACAGTAAGAGAATGATATATAATAACAATGAACAAGCTCAGCATTCATATTTATTTGGAAGAAAACAGGTGGAAGAAATAACCTGCACATTCATTTTCGTACTTTCCTCTTCAAAATGAGGACCCTCTTGGTTACAAGCCAAAATTACATGAACAACTGGGATTTCCAGAAGAGCACAGAATTATGTGTTTGTAAGAAATTATGCTTATCATACAAATCACTCAGAGCAAATCACTACAGTAATGAATGGTTATTTCCGTATAATATGTCAACCATATATAAGGCTGAAGTCTGCACTCTACTCTATCAAAATAAGTCATTTAAAATGTCAAAACAACAGAAAAACATACTCTTACCAAAGAAGGAAAGATTTCATCATGTAACATGATTACAATGGGGCTAGTTTATCTAATAACACATTATGCACAATATCTTTATTAGAGAAAACCTGTATAACCAATCAAAGAACTAGTTGCATTATGACATTTCCTGACTGCAAAGGAGGGCTTCTATTTTAGTACACAGAAGTTATGAGAAAGACAGACGGTCTAAATCTTTCAACAGTTTGAAAGTACAAGGAAAATATCTCAAAAAGAACAGCATTGTAAAAAGGTAAGAAAATGTTATCAACTGTCCATCTCTATTATTTTTATCAAGTAAATGTATTTAAAATTCATATATTTTCTAAAGGTGCAGAATAAAAATAAAAGTGCCAGCACTGTTAAGGATTTTTGACACTCTTATGTCAGTACTGTAAATTAAGTGAATTTTACCTGTATGAAAGACATGTAAATGGGAACAACCATGCTATTTTTATTAAATCATCAGGGAAAGTTGAAGGTGAATTTTACTAATACAGAGATAACAGCTATAGTAAAGTAAACAGCACTGCTTTCTTCTGGCTAAAATAATGAACAGGTTAGATACAAATAAAATTAAAAAAAGAAGAGAAATGTCTATGAATGTCACGTGTACCAAGAAAAAAGACCGTGACACAAGCATCAGAAGTCCAGGGACTTTCCCAGCATGAAAATACTAAATCTTGGTGTCCTTTCTAGGTTGGCTCCCTTTGTGTCTTCCATACTCTACACTCTTCTCAGGTTTACCTAACCTGCTGGCTTCCAATGTTTTTGAATGGCAATTCCCATTATCTCCAGTTATTGGTCCTCCTGGTAGCAGATGATGGGAGTCACAGTCGCTTATGAAAGACACCACATCGGGGTAAGTTACGTGCATTTGGTCAGGTTTTTTTCCTTCTCAGAAAATCCTCCAGAATGTCACTTTTATGCAAGGTGTACACTCAATACTAATGCCTAATACGTTTAGGCTTAAAAACTTCTGCCATCACATCCAAAATCTCTTATCAAAGGCAACTGTAACTCTCAATACATGTGCTTGTTAAAGGATCACTGGCAATGATTCGCTCAGAGGCATCTGACTATCACCACTGGCAAGCCACTGACTGGTTGAATCAAAATTGTACAGTGAAATCAAGGACTTACATCTCCTCCAATTATATTACAAATCTGATTTCTGAGCTCAGAAATCTAGTTTTGCTTTTTAACTTCTGTATTATGTCACAGTAACACATATCCTCCCAGTTTTCAGAAGCAGACAACAGTTTGTACATTTTAAAAAGTCTAATACCCTACAGTATATAATTATAGATTTCTTCTTTTTATCATCTATCTATTGACAGTTGCAGAACTTCCACACTGAATTCATTAAGGCTAATTTACTGTAAAATCCTAAAAATGTTTACTCAGAAGAAGGCCTCACTATATTCAGTAAAGTTTAAATCTGCCTAAGTGTGTAGAGGTCTGTTGCCTTTAACTGCTACACAGCAACTCTAGTGTTTAGTCCCACATAAATGCTTGCAGGATAAAAAGAACTAGAAAGCCTCCCACCTGCCTCTGTAGGTCTCAAATGTGTGCATTCACCTACCTCATCTTGGTGCCCTCCAGATATACTGGACTACAACTCTCACTGTTTCCAATAGAACTAGAAAGCCTCCCACCTGCCTCTGTAGGTCTCAAATGTGTGCATTCACCTACCTCATCTTGGTGCCCTCCAGATATACTGGACTGCAACTCTCACTGTTACCTATCATACTTCATGCTGGCCGATGGGAGCTGTAGTCCAAACATCAAAGGGACACAAGGCTGAGGGAGGCTGATGTATAATCACCTCAGAAGGTAAAAGCAGGTTAACAGGGATGTAGATGGCACATTAGAATGAATCCTTTCTGATATAATTTAAATACTTCAAAGTAAGAATGGATTGTTATACCTCGTCTCCTGAGGGCCTAAATTATTGTAACAGTGTCCAGATCCATTAAGTCTGTTGCTAAGGTAAATTTCATTGTAGTAGTGTATGAGTAGGCACCTTCTGCATAAGAGTAAGGGAAGCTTAGCAGAACATAATGAATTTGCAGGGAACAGAAGTCACTCAGTACCTAGGTTAGAGCAGGATGTATAGGAAACTCTATGGGTTAGTAATCTGCACACCTATTTGCAAGCTATTACAAAAATCTCTGGTGTATAGGACTACAGTGGTATAACTAGTTTTGTGAGAGCTGCAAGCGCATTAAAACTGGAGTGAGAGTGGAATAGATCAGTCATCTCAATTTGTGTTCCTCTCCCACCCTCTTTGTCCTATTAAACGTTTTTGTCTACAGTACACTGTTTCAGCAGTTGGTCAGAGCATATACAAGAAGTGAGCAAATGTCAAAAACAGTGACAAATATTACAGAGGTAGTTCAAAGATACTGCAGCTCAGACAAAGAAGTGGGAGCAAGAGCTTGCTCTTTGCAACACAATTTCTTAGCCACAAAAGCTAAGATGCACCCAAGAGTGTGAAAGAAGGCAGACTTGGTGCCATGAAGAGACAAACTTCCTCTTTCAAACTACTTCCCAACAGAAAGCTTTGTTCGGTTTTACTTTCACTATCTTGTGTTATTTCACACATCTAATTATGCAAGGGGAGAAATATGGCTCTTCGCCATGAATGCCAGTGATTAAACATGCTGCTCAAAGTTGGCCATTTAAACAAAATGAATGTGCACCCATACTCCTTGATGAATAAACCCAGTGAGTATTCAGTATTCACTTTCTTTGGATGATAGCAATTTAGTAATTGGTAACTATCACACACAATGTACGTACCTAGTGTGGTGCAATGTGCAAAGGACTCAGGAGACCTGAATTTGATTCCCCGGCTCTGCCATGAAAACTCACTAGGTGGTGGAACTGATAAAACCACTCCTGAAAACCCTATAAATGTCACTATAAGTCAGTTCTGACTTGACAAACATAAATCACACAAGGATCCCACTGAACAATGTAAACTAATTATTTGTGATAGCAAATACCTATTCAATTATTTATGGTGCACAGCATTTGGTTAAGAGAAAGGTAGGCTGGAATCTTGGGATGTGGTGGCACTGCAGGTTAAACCACAGAAGCATGTGACTGCGAGTAGATAAATAGGTACCACCACAGTGGGAAGGTAACAGCGTTCTGTGTTTAGTTGCACTGGCCACGTGACCACGGAAACTGTCTAAGGACAAATGCTGGCTCTATTGCTTGGAGACAGGGATGAGCACTGCACCCTAGAGTTGGACACGACTGAACTAAATGTCAAGGGGAACCTTTACCTTTACCTAGGCTGGAATCTACTGACTGAATGTTGTCGAGCTTCTGCTGATTCCTGACATTCTTGCAAAGAATGCTGAAGTATGCTGACCTTAGATAGAGCCAAGATAATGAATCTTCTACCTTCATAAAAAAAAAAGTGCTTGGAATCACTTCCTACAGGATTGAATTTTAGAACACAGCATTTTAAAGAAATCCCTGTGAAGTGCATATATGGAGCTGCATGGTTCTAGACTAGTTTTACTGAATGCAAAACTTATCATTCTTCTTTTTTTCTTAGATATAATGTTATGAAGTTATGAATAACCACAATCAAAGTCTAATTATAATGTCTGGAAGTGACCATCCTGAGGAATACAGAATTTCGTCACTTGTCTTCTACAGTTTTATTTTCGTAATTGGCTTACTTGTCAATATGACAGCACTCTGGGTCTTCAGCTGTACGACCAAAAAGAGAACAACGATAACGATCTACATGATGAATGTTGCACTGCTTGACTTGATTTTTATATTTACTTTGCCCTTTCGAATGCATTATTATGCGAAACGCTCTTGGTTCTTCGGAGATGTCTCCTGTCGAGTCCTGAGCACTTTCACTGTTTTTTATCCCAGTGTTGCTCTGTGGCTGCTAGCTTTTATAAGCGTTGACAGATATATGGCCGTTGTTCAACCCAAACATGCCAAGGAACTCAAGAACACAACTAAAGCCCTGATAGCTTGCACAGGGCTTTGGATAATGACTGTTGTGACGACTACTCCACTGCTGTTTTTACATTCTGATTCAGATAACATTTCAAATTTTACCACCTGCATTAAGATGATGGATATTATATATCTAAAGGAAATCAGTGCGTTAAATTTTTTTCGACTGGCCTTTTTTTTCTTGATTCCCCTAGTCACCATGATTGGTTGTTACTTGGCCATCACTTACAGTCTTACACATGGAAGGAAGTCCAAGCTCAAACCAAAGGTTAAAGAAAGGTCTATAAAAATTATTGTGACATTGATTATCCAAGTACTTGTCTGCTTTGTGCCTTTTCACATTTGTTTTGCACTCCTGATGCTTGAAAATGGACCTGTGAGCTACAACCCATGGGGTGCATTTACCACCTTTCTCATGAATCTCAGCACATGCCTAGATGTAATTCTGTACTATTTAGTTTCTAAACAATTTCAGGCCCGAGTGATCAGTGTTATGCTTTATCGCAATTATCTTCGAAGTGTACGAAGGAAAAGCATACGATCTGGTAGTGTGAGATCACTAAGTAATATTAACAGTGAGATGATATAAACAAAACAAAGCAGTGAAATATATAAACATGCTTGAAGAAGACTTAAGTGAAGAAAAGAAAGTATGGCAAAGCTCACCATAAGAAGAAAGGTGTAACTTTTAATATTCCTATCTCAAACTGCATTTTCCTTGATAAAGAGGAAAATTACCTTAGCATGACACACACTGAAATTTTTGGTATTTATTAATGCATCTGTTAGTTACATATTATTTTCTTACCTTTGATTCTTTTATTTTTGACATGTTACTTTCATGGAATTGCACTATTTAGTAAGACTGAGCAGTATGAAAATTAATTGAACACTGCATTATTTCAGTCGTCACAACAATGCAAAGTAGAAGTGGAGAAAAAATAATTCCAGATGTCTAATTCAAATAATTCATCTACAATAAATATTTGAACAATTATTTGACAGTCCATCATTTGCACTTTGTATGGGCAAGGTGCAAAGGCTTCGAAATGTGCAAGTAAGCCTGAAATGCCTTCTTGGGGGGCGGAGGGGAAAATGCATCTACTCCCACTTGAATTGCTCATTTTGGAATCTTTGATACATAACCACACATTGTAGGCTCACTGGCCAAAGCTATCTTCACAAGAGTTACACTGTTATAACAAATTATACTATCAGGGGAATTGGTATGGATGTACTATCTATCCATCCCCCAAATGGTAGCTTTCTCAGAAACAGAGGTTACATGAACACAATCTGTCTATTTACACACCCATCAATATTTACAATTCTGTAGAAAACAAGACACTCAAAGCTGATTTTCAGCATTTGAGACAGCTAGTGGTCAAAATTCTGTTAGTTTCACCTGTAAGCATAATGCAAATAATATAACTTTTTGAGACAAATTGGTTCAGTTAAGATATCATTGTAGACCTTATGTGTTGTGTATTGAATTCTATGACTCTGCGTGCAAAAAAACCTGTCTATGGTGATTTTTTTAACTGGACACAATTCATATCTAAAAGTTATGTGGCTTTCATTATGCTGGTGTAAAATTCGAATGGGATTTTGACCAGTGTCTCAAATGACACCGATACTGTATAATCAGAGCTTTTCAAATAATGCTGAGGAAAATTTTAAAAGATTTCATAGGCAAGGGGGTGGGGTTTAAATTGGGAAAGTATTCATTTTAAAAAACCGTTTACATTCCCACACATCTTTTTAACAGCCACTAGCCCACATCTACTGCCACTTAAATCTTCCATTTTAACATTAAAAAAAAAACGCTTCAGCACATGATCTCAGGGACTACATATAGAACAAAAAACAACATATTTTATGATGACATCACAATAGACAAGCGAAACATTCCCAATGTTTCACTTATCTATTGCAAGTGGGACTGGAATGCCCAGGTTATCATGCCAATATTCCTTTTCTTATAAAGCAAAGTTTTATCATCTCAATTCTTCTCATACAATTATTTCATAGCTACTTACAATCCTGAAGGCAAACTATGTATGGTGAGGCCAAAAGAATATTCAACAGCTTCTACCAAAAGAAGATCAAACAGCACTGACAGCATCCAGGAGCCCAGCAAAAATGACTGAAAAACAGAAAATGCAGGAGATCTGAATTACAAACTGTACAACTTTTTCAACAGAACTGAGATATGCATAGGGTTTGAAAGATGTTTCTAAGTCCAAGCATCTCTTTGAGCTTTCATTACTTAAGACAGAGTCAGTGAAATGTGCTATAACTGAGAACACAAATATCACAACCCTGAAATTTGTTAGATTTTTTCTATCTCTATTTCTAAATTAATGTGATAACTCAACCTGGTCAGGAACTTTGAACTCCAGGTAGCTGGTACATGTCAAAACAGGAATGCCAGGATCTGAGGTTTCCCAGAAGAGCATGGCCCAGGGCAAAACACTGTCTCTGCCAGCCTGCCTTCTTCCCCTAAGTACATCCTGCTGCCATCTTACATGCACCTGGCCATCCACCAGAACGAAAAGAAAATGTGATTCATCAGACCAGGCAACCTCTTTCCATTGCTTCATGGTCCAGTTCTGATGCTCACATTCCCACTGTAGGCACTTTTGGTGGTGGACAGGGGTCCTCATGGGCACTCTGACAAGTCTGTGGCTATGCAGTCCCATACCTAGCAAACTGCAATGCACTGTGTGTTCTGACACCTTTCTATCATGGCCAGCATTAGTTTTTTCAGCAAATTCAGCTACAATAGCTCTTCTGTATGATCAGACCAGACAGGCTAGCCTTTGCTCCCCACATGCATCAATGAACCTTGAATGCTCACAGTTCTAACGCCAGTTCACCAGTTGTCCTTCCTTGCACCACTTTTAGTAGGTACTAACCACTGCATGCTAGGAACACCCCACAAAACTTGCTGTTTTGGAGATGCTCTGACCCAGTCGTCTGGCCATCACCATTTGGCCTTTGTCAAGGACACTCAGATCTAATGGCGGTTGTGGGTTTTTCGGGCTCTTTGGCAGTGTTCTATTTATTTATTTATTTATATCCCACCTATCTGGTCATTGTGACCACTCTAGGTGGCTTACAACATCAAATACATAACAAATATAAGAAAAAAAATATTACACAATTAAAGAATTCTGCAAGATGGAGAGCACACAAAAGGTTGTTCTTCCTAACACTCAGATCTTTTTGCTTGTCCCTATTCCCTGCTTCCAAAACATGAAATTCAAGAACTGACTGTTCACCTGCTGCCTAATATATCCCACTACTTGACATATGACATTGTAACAATATAATCAATGCTATTCAGTTTACAGTACTTGGTGAGTGGCTTTAATGTTGTGACTGATCAGTATATATCTCTATAAAGATGAGAGTAATGACCAGGTGAAAATACGGATAATGGATAATGATCCTTGAACACAGGATAAGACCACAGGCAGAAACGCCGATCACTTTCTGTTTATAAAAAAGGACTTCTAAGGCCTAAAACAAGACCACAGTGAAAACTAAAATTATGCTAAAAGGGCCAGTTGCACCCCCTGAAGCTTCTATGGGATATGATTTGCAATTCTGGAGCAAGCTAGGCGGTGTGTCAGAAACGGTATAGCCATCCAAGATCAGAGACTCCGGAATGGTCTCCAAATCCCCAGAAATTGTGTGATCTGATAAGAACTCAGGAAGGCCCCAGACATTTTTATTTATTTCTTTATTCTATTTATATGCCACATATCTCCCAACAAGGGACCCCCAAAGCAGCTCAAAACATTAAAATGCACACAATTTAAAAACACAATAAGTTAAATATTAAAAGACGAATTAAACAATATATGGTTTAAAATACAATTAAAAGATTAAAACATTGAAATATAAACAAGATTAAAATTATCTGTCTGAATGGGGTTCAGGGATTCAGTTACAATTGTTAAAAGCCTGGCTGAAGATAAAAGGGAAGGGGCCATCCTGATTTTGTGCTACATTCAAATGACTATAAAATTAACATATGTGCTTTTCTAGGACTAAATGCAGTGAAATAAATACAGATATGTGAGTGGCCAAAAGCTCTGTCTGAATTTATCAAAAAGAAAGAAATATTTCTTAAAAGCATATATGAAGAGCAGCATAGGCATCCTTCAGTCTCGAGAGACTATGGTAACATGCTCTGAATCGAGGAGTGTCCTCTTCAGAGCATGAAGCCCGGGTAAGGTAATATGGAGGATAGGTTGTTACCCAAGCAGCAGATCCCCCCTTTCCACATTGCTGAAATGGTCCAATGGGGAAAGGCAAGAGCCAATACAACTGGTTCCAGCAATGTCACAGGAGTTGGCAGAACGACACATGCTGCCTTCGGGACTCCAGCTCCGGATTTTGCCTCGAGGTTAACTCCTGAAGCCTTTTCCATGAGTGGATATAGCCACAAGACAGTGGAGGTTTGAAATTGGAGCAATTATCTGGAATATCCACACCCTTTTTGTACCACTAATGATAAGGCAGAGAGGAAGGATTAGTGAAAGACCAGAAGATTTAAAATATATTATTGTAAGCATGCAAGGGAACAAAACTTGCACTTACAGAAAATTTCCTGCTGCCGTATCTCCTTTCAAATATCCTAAAGTTATAGATGAGTAAGCTGCTGCAGAATGTGTCTTTGAGGTCAAGGCATACCATTCGCCCACTTACAAGTCTCCAAACCTAAAAGTTAACAATTGGATAAGTATTTGCAGGCAGATCCCATTCTCTCTGTTAAGAGAAACTTGTCCCACACATAAAAAATCATTGTGTTATAGTACTGTTAATACTTAGTCCATGGGATATTATTAACAGAAGTGAAAATGAAACCTTTCAACAAGGACACCTGCTTCTGGAATAATATTTTGCATTATATTTCAAAAACAAATACATAAAGAAAATAAAGAGGTGTCAGCTCTTTCTATCCACTTTTGACCAATTTATCATCAGCTTTCTTTTACTAAAATATTGAACATTAGATTTTATTTGAGAAGGCCTAATCTACATTCAAGAGAGACAGGGTTGGGGACCTGACTCAGAAAACTACAAAGGAAGTGATAGGGTAGGTGTCTATTCCATTCAAAGAATGAAAAATACTCGCAGGAACCTGAGTGCTCTCTCTCTCTCTTCCTGTTCTGCTGCTAATCTCCCTCTGCTCTGATATACCGCCATTGCTGTCATCCCATCCAGATTCCAACACCGTTAGTAAGCCAGCTCCAGAATAGCACTAAGGGATGAAACTCAATAGAACAAAGGAGCAGAATTCAGGATCCCTGACCCCTTGCTCTCTTTTGCTTGTTTATCTAGATTTTTCCAACTTCTTTATATATGGGACAGGCTCAGTGACATAGAGAACCTGAGGCCCACAGGCTGAATGCAAAGGTTCCTAATTTAACTTGTCAGCTGTTTTGCAAGAGCCTCCCTCCTTCTCCTAAATTTCCATCTCTACTGAGCCTCCTTCTGCTCAGCGCTGCAGAACCAACTGCCTCACCCCGCACTTATCTCCAGTCCCAGCTCCAGCAACTATAGACAGGCAGCCCTTGAGTCTACATTGAGCTAGGAATGGATCACAGCTTGGGGCTGGAAGACCTGTCCCCACCCATTGTCTTCCAGAAGACATACCCAAAGAGGAACCATCACTAGAGACTGAAGCAGACCCTTCACAACCCATTGTCTTCCAGAAGACATACCCAAAAAGAAACTATCACTAGACTGAAGCAGACCCTTCACAGCACATTTAGGGGCAATTTGTAGAGGAATAACTAATGTTCTCGAAGGCAGAAACAAAATTCAAAGAGATCTTGATCAGCTTGAGCAGTGGGCTGAAAACAGCAAAATGAAATGTAACAGGAATAAGTACATAAAGTTCTGCATTTAGGAAAAAAGAAAGCAAATGCGCAGCTACAAGATGGGGGCTAGTTGGCTTAGTAATACTGCCTATGAGAAAGATGTTGGAACTGTTGTAGATCACAAGCAGAATACAGTATGAGCCAAAAACAGGATGTGGCTGTTTTAGGCTGTCTTGACAGAATTAGATTCTCTAAATCAAGTGAAGCACTAACTCCCCACTATTCAGTGCTGGTTAAGGCTTGTTTCAGGTCTGGACACTGCACTTTAAGAAGGATGCAGACAAACTGGAACAAGCTCACAGAAGAGCAGAAAGGGTGATCAGGAGACTGGAAACCAAGCCTTATGAGGAAAGACTGAAAGAACTGAGTGTGTTTAGCCTTGAGAGGGAAAAAATACTGAGGGGAGGTATGATAGTACTCTTCAAATATTTGAAAGGTTGTCATAAAAAGGGGGGGGATCTGTTCTCTATCATCCCTGAGTGCAGGGCACATAATAATGGGCTCAAGTTATGAGAAGCCAGATTTTGGCCAAAGATCAGGAAAAACGTCTGTGCAGGGCACATAATAATGGGCTCAAGTTATGAGAAGCCAGATTTTGGCCAAAGATCAGGAAAAACGTCCGGTTAGAGCACTATGACAATGGAAAAAATTACCTTGGGAGGTAGTAAGCTCTCCAGTACTGGAAGTATTAATGAGAAAGTTAGGCAGCCGCTCAGAGTGGTACAGATGTATCAGATGAGCGGGATATAAATCAAATAAATAAATAAATAAATAAAATGTGCCAAATATACTTTAACTTTTGGAAGTATTAATGAGAAAGTTAGGCAGCCATGTGCCAAATATACTTTAACTTCGGATTCATGCACTGAGCAGGCAGTTGAACTCAATGGCCTTATAAGCCTTCTCCAACTAAACTATTCGATGATTCTATGATTGCAAGAGGAGGAAGAGGAAAACGTCTCTATATGAAATGTTCTCAAGTAATGTTCTAAGTCAGGGATCCCCAACCCCTGGTCCATGGACCGGTCCCGGTCTGTGGCCTTACTAGGACCGGGCCACGGAGACAAATCTCCTGCCCTCCAATGCACGCACAGCCCCTCCCACGGACGTACACACAGCCCCTCCCACACACGCACAGATGCACACATGGCCCCTCCCATGCACACACAGCCCCTCCCACTAACACAGATGCATAGACAGCCCCTCCCATGCACGCATGGACATGTGGATTCTTGGATTCTTTCACAGCTTATTACCAAGAAGCCTTTCATTATATGAATGGTGAGAAGAATAACAGGAACTTCAGTGAAAAATCAAGCACATTTAAGAGAACAAATGCTCCATCTGGAAGACCTCTCAGTACCCACTGTAGCCAAACTCCTTGTCTTTAAAACTGAGACTTACAAATTAACTATTGTCTTGCTATCACTGAAGAATAAACAGTTACAGTTACATAGTAATCATAATCTGTCTTTGAAAGTCAATATGCTCTAATATTTTTTAAATTTTAGACAGATAGTGAATACTTGAGTATTTTAGCAAGCCTTCATAATGTAGTCCAATGTCCTAACTATTTCATGTAAATGCTGTGTTTTAATTTTGTATACCAACTATTCTTTATACTGTACATTATCCAGAAACCCTCAGATTCAAGTGACATATCAGTACTCATAAATTAAACAAACAAGGAACTGAACTCATCTGAAACTCATTGCTGCATAAAATATTCCTAGCAGAGTCCTTCACCTTCACTGGGTGCTCTGAAGCAGTCACTGCTTCCTTCCCACACCAACATTTGATGTAGCAGCTACTTTACTAGTATGTTGTGATACTGAATGCTTTGATTAAGTTTTCAAGCTATGAAGATTCTAAGTCTAGAGTGCAGCAAATGCATGGTCGACCACAGATATTAAAACAAAATTGAGGCACAGATACCTGACTAACATATTTGACCATATATAGTTATGACAATGCTGATATGTAAGCAAATTGTGAAATGGGCTGCTACTTACCTGAAATTCCTCTTTTACTGCTTGAAGATTATATGTGAAGAATTTCTGATGATGTTGAAAAAGTAGAGCCAACAGAAGAGAAAGGGTGCTTGAGATTATCAAGAGGCCCTTTGAGAGAGGTGCTTTATCTTTAAAAGAAAGCATATACATATAAATACATAATGAGGTATCTTGATTAAGAAGATATTTCTGAGAACATGTTAAATAATAAATGCACTTTACAATGAACATTAACAGATCTTCAAGAAATCTGGTATAACCTACCAAAATGAAATTGATATGTTAAAAAAGAAATAGAACTATAGAACATACTATTTTGTTTTGTTCAAGTGACTGTGAAATATCTATTTTCCCTAACAAATTTTCTTCTTTTTAATTTTTTTTCATTTCACAACCATTCCATTTTTCCCCCAAATGGAAAAGCAGAAACTTTATGAAAATACTAAAAAATATTTCCTCTTTTACTGTGAATTAAATGGACTTTTGAAAAAAAAAAAGATTTTACCCATCAAAACATGTCACATGGAAATTTTTACACAAAACATTCTACAACACAAAAGTAAACCATGGAAGCAGCCTCTATATGTGTACACGAGAGAGAAAAAACATTATTTCCCCTTCTGCAGGTTCCCAGCATAAAATTTTTTAAAGCTTGCTACAGAAAACTGTTTGGATTAATCCTCTCCATGCAGAAGAAAACTCTGTGTATGTTGCGGGGGGGGGGGCTATGGGAGGAGTAATCAGAAAAACCAGTGCTAATGAAACTATGTTCACCTGTATTATAGTACATACAATATTATACTCTCCAACGTTTCACAGATTAAAGACACACACACAAGCACCAACACAATCTCAGCAGCGATCACTGCATATGCCCTTTCATTCTACACAATGAAGAAAGTCCTCACCTCTATCTACTCTATCATTTATTCTTCAACAGCCTCCACCATACTACTTTAAAAGCCCATTAGTAGTTTGCCACACAATTGTACCAACAATTACAGACCTGGCTATGCACTGCATATCCCACAGTTGCACTAAGTGGCACAACAGATACTGCATGGACAGGGCCAGCCCAAAATATACATCTTTCTGCCTGAGGCAAACAATAAGATCCCTCTTCTTTCCATTCCATGTACAGAAGCTAATGAGCATGGCAGTGCAATCTTTTGATGTTGGCGATGATACAATGTTAGCCAGGCTAACTAGACTTTTCAGGCAACTGTAGAAGTAAAACAGGAAGCACAGTTTAAAGGGATAGTTGAACCAAATGTAAAATAACATTTTTTGAAAAGAGTGATTGGGGAGTGGGTGAATAAAATGTATTAATTAGTGCACTAAATAACCCTTATACACTACTTATGTGACAAAGGGACAGGAATTCCAAGACAGAACTAGCAGTTTGAGAACCATTCTGTCTAATGATGATGATGATGATAGAACAAATGCTTGCACTAAGGAAAATTATTATTATTATCCTGCTTTCCCCAAAAGATTTCTATAACAAACTGACTGTTCAATTTGCTTGACAACTTCGCTGTTTAATATAAAGACATAAGCCTTTCACCAGTATTCATTTTAGACATTTCAAACTTTACAATACAGGAAATGAACATCTGGTTATTTTTACTTGTATCACAAGACTGAGTAGTCACAGCTGCAACCGACATATAAATGTGAAAGTCAACCACAATGGAAAGTACAGTACTGTACAGTCACCTAAACAAAACCTGTGAACCAGGAACACATTTTAAAATATGAGTGTTCACCAATTTTAAAAACTATACTAAACATTATGATCATTTCATTGATCACTGCATGCTCAATTTACACAGGAAAAAAAGTGCTCTAAACTGTCAACATTTTTTAAAATCCCTGAATGGATTATCACAGGATGTTTTCAGATGCATCAGGTGATGGTCATATAACTTATTTTCTATTGAGCTTACAGTTCTCTGTAATGCCAAGACTGGCATTTGTTTACTGCCCTCTGTGCAGAGACAGCTCCAAGACCAGTGTTACTGACTCAAGGCAGAGATTGGAAATTCTTGCAAGCAGGTTATGTGAGCAATAAATGCCTCCTGTTGTAGGTGCTTTGGATAGACACATGTTGACATAACAACTTTTACACTTATAGCGAATTATATTAATATGTGTTCTGCATTTGGAAGCTTGGCCGCCGGACCCAAAAACATTGCTGGAGGGGTAAGTTTGCACACTTATTGGAACGCATTAAACTAAGTTTAATGCGTTCCAATAGGTTTTACTTACCCGCACAGCGATGTTTTCGTATAGCGAAGGTTAATCCGGAACGGATTAACCTCGCTATACGGGGCACCACTGTAATCTGTTTTCTTCGCTCCATAAGACGCAGAGACTTTCCACCCCCGTTTTGTGGGGAAAAATCTTATCAGGGCTTATTTTCAGGTTAGGACTTATTTTCAGGGAGACAGGGTAGCTGATTCTCCACATGACAAAAGAAAATTTAAATGCTGAAGAGAAATTAACAACTGAATAATAAGGCCATCTTTCCCTTCATACTACCTATGAGATATGGGAGCTTCCATATGTATATGGATCTTCAACTAATATTATTTGGACATCTCATTATCAATCAAAATTGATATAACTTAAAAAGCTAACTATGATATAATTAAAAGCAAAACACTGCTACACTTTTCCTTCAATAACTATTCAGTAAATGTGGGTGTTAAAGGAACCTTTCTTGACCTAAGAAAAAAAAGAAACAAAATATCCCCCTCTAGTAGTCGAAGGCGGAATAGCAGCTTCCCATTAGTTTCTATGGACGGAAAAGAGCAGATACGGATCAAATGGTTCTCAATGCATTCCTATGGGAAATGCAGATTTCACCTGAGAACTTTTGGACTTGAGAACCGCCTTCCAATACGGATTAAGTTCTCAAGTCAAGACCCCACTGTATTCAGTAAATGTGGGTGTTAAAGGAAGAGGTTTGAGATGACACCCCTAAACAGAGTATATAGGGCAAGTCCTACTGGAGACCGTGGAACTTTCCCCCCAAGGATATAATTGCCCTGAATAATTTTTTCAGAGCAATCATGTTTGAGCTAATAGTGCATTACAAGAATGGGCACCAAATCAAAATTATTTGGTGTAATTCTGTGTCATACGCATACAGAAATATTCCAGCAAAAAGTAAAGGGACAATAACAATTCATGCAAGGGCAATGGGAATCTATACAGTTTTCTGTTGTTTTGACTTTTCTGTATAGAACAATCCTCTGGACAGAACTATTATATGCACTCTACATGATACCTAGAAGCAGAGGTCTCTAAAAAGCCCTGGGATCCCATATTGCATCCCATATATGGATAGTGCAGGATAGTAGTTTACTCAATTTCTTGAAAATATCACAATAACTTAGTTTGTTGAAAATGTTAAACAGAAGAAGAAAAAGAAACCCTACCACTACCAGATGGGAAAAGAGGAGTAGGGAAAAAGAAATGACACCATCCTATACCAAGTTGCAGCTTGTCCACACCATGCTACTGTCCTTGATCATTTGGAGATTGTTCTAGATCATCCCAATACCACTTTTCCACATACACCTGGAATTACTCTGGTTTTTTTTTAACCCAATACTGATCAATTCTGCCAACTTCTCCATCCTCACCCCACCCATCTCCACTCTCTTCTCTCCTCAACTTGTTTTACCTAGCTGTTATTCTCAAAACTTCATATTTTACCTGTCAACCTATTTTACTGTATGACTTCATCTGTTATTTCCCAATGGAAGGAAAAGCTGATCCTCCAAGAAATATAAACAGGAATGTCAGGGTGGAGATTAAGCCACAGAAACTCTCTTCCAAAGAACCATAAAATCACACACACATATACAGTGGGTATAAAAAGTTTATGCACCCCTGTTAAAATGTCAAGTGTCTGTGATGTTAAAAAAATGAGACAAAGATAAATCATTTCAGAATTTTTTTTCCACCTTTAATGGGACCTATGAACTCTACAACTCAGCTGAGCTTGCAGCTTGTCCACTTGACAGGAGTCGGGACTCAATGATCAACAGGGTCCCTTCCAGCTTGCAGTCCTAAGATTATTACCACCCTTCTATTAAGGACGACGAGAGGAAAAAAGCGGCACCACATCTTCTCACCGGTGCTGCTAGCAGCCGTCTACCTACGAGCGCCCTTAACAGAGCCTCACTTTATCCAGCCGCCCCCGCCGCCAGCCCCCCCCCGGCAGCAGCTCGGGCGAAGGGCAGGGGCCCGTGACGTCACGACCACTGGCCAGGCGCGTCGCCTCCTCCGCCAAACAGGAGCTTTTGCGCCACTTCCCTTTCCCGTCCGCGGGAGGCGGCGCGCCGAGGGCCGGCCTGCGGGGACTGTCAGGCCCGTGTTCCTTCCCGA